GGCGGGGAGCGCGCTGCTCTTCCCTTGAGCCCGTCTGCCGGGCGCTGCGCCCCTGCCCCCTGAAACGGCCTGGGACCGCAGCGTCAGCACGGGCGGAGTGCAGCGCCGCGGGGAGCATAACCGAGGCAGGTTATGCGTGCGAATTACTTCTGGCGCTTTTTCTGGCCTGCAGAAGGTGGTTTTTGTGCTGTGTCGGCTGTTCAGGACCAACGTTAGCTCGGCACTTAGGGCGGTGCTTTTGAGGTTTGATGCTGTATCGTGAGTAACGAAACCAGACAAGTCGCTTACTGGCTCCAGCCGTCTTGCAGTCTAAATAAAGAACTGGCGAGCACTTAAATACTACCTTGAAACAGAAAAGTGCCTGGAGCTCTTCCTGCTGTTTTAGCATAAAGAAAACACTGTGCTCTGCATCACTTGCTAAGCCAGCATTGCTTACGGGCCATCGTCACGTACCATGGGAAAGTAAAAACCTCCAGTAAGCAAGCTTAGGTATTTGCATTTCTGGTTAACCTCCTGTTTTCCAATAGCACCCTGCTATTGAAGCTAAGTTTTACTTTCAGGCTGTGAAAAGGATTTGATAGCCTGGAGCCCTGGGGGAACCGTTTGATGTGTGTGGTGAGCACAAGTTGTTGGACCAGCGTACATTCTTCAGGGCTGGTTAATGTTCCAGCTTCCGATTTGTCGCTCAGCAATAAAACACACACATGCAAATGGGCGGTGTGAGCGAGCATTGCCGTGCCGGAGGTGTGCGAGATACAGCAGTAGGCATCTCTGCCATGCTGCTACAGAAAGTTTTATTTCTACAGAATAACTTAAACGCAGTTATTTATACCTGGGTTTACAGGCTTTGCGTTGAACTGTAACCGCTCTGCTTTCCTTCCCTGCGGTGCGGCCTTGTGTTTTCTCATTTCTGCCTGTAAGTACAGCCAAGGCACGAACTGAGCGCAAACGCAAGCAGAAAAGGATGTGGTTTAGGTGCTGAACATCCCCCCCTTATAACTTGTGCTGTAAAAATGTTGTTAAATGCAAGATGTTGTATGGAATCTTGCCTTTTGCAGATACATACCTTCTTTCAGGTATGCGGGTTATTGGCCTTCCCAGTATAGGTTTGTAACAAAAGAGGGATGAGCTTACTTATCTTTTGATGGGTAAGAGGTTTTCTGTCTTAGCTGAAAGCCTTCACTTCTGTCAGTGCTATTATGTTCTGTATTTAAATGCTGGCAAGTAATTTTATTCTTTCAGATTAAGCACTTTGTAAGTAGGCTCATTGCAAATTAGATGTCAGTTAAGGAGCTATAAAAATGATGAACTTGTTATTAAGATCAAAGAAGTGAGATCTCGAAGTTTGTGTAGTTGTTTAGCAAATTAAAATTAAATCAGCTCCTCTGTTTAGAAGTGGGATGGTTGCAGTGTTCTCTGTAGAGCAATAGTTGTCTTTCCTCCTGGTCCAGCATCCTGACACATTCATACCTTCCACCGTCTCGCTGAACCTTTTCAGAAAGGGGTGTTTGGAGGTTTTGCAGAGCTGTAGGTAGGAATGAGGATCCTTCTCTCTGCCCTAACTAGCGATGCTAGGAAGCATGGATAGCTGCCAGTGCCGTGAGGACGTGGAAATGTTGATAGGCATCAGGATGGGCCTGTCCACCTGGGACCCGCTCCCTTGCTCATCCTGGGAAGCACCTTGCCAGCTTCCACCCCCCACCTCGTGGGGCAGGCCTGGCTCCCAGTCTTCTCCTGAGAGTGAGGGCATGTCCACTGGGGATTTTCGCTCACAGAGGAAACCACTCAGTGAGGTGAGGCAAGGATCTCCCCCTTCTCCTGTTCTCCTCTGCCTGCTCAGAGTATAACAACCTCTGCTCCAGCACCCCTTTTCCTGCAGCCAGGGCCCCCCTGCGCTGTGGTTCTTTCTCGCCTCTGTGCCGTGGGAGGGACTCTGATCCAGGCCAAAAAGGGGAACAGAAAGCTGTGCCCCGCTGACTGGTGGGGCCCTGCCCGCAGCACTGGTCGGAGGGGAAGCACAGCAGCAGCACCACCAAGTAGGCTGCAAGGCGAGTAGCAGGAAACAGTTTAAGAACTTTCGAAACTTGGTCTCAAAAAAGCCCGTTCTATATTTATCTCTTTTTTTATTTCAGTCGCTGTTCAGTTCTTTTGAGTATCTGGTGCAGAATCCTGTCGTGACTTCAGCGCTTCAGATAATATGCATTTTACTCCAGGAAAAAAAAAAAAAGTGGTGGTTTGGGCTTTTTTAAGTCAAAGATGAATATAGCATACACTATTAATAAGCATTTGCTTGCCCTGGATTTAACATGCATGAAAAAGCGTAGCGCTTGAGGATTGAAGAAGTAAACTGGGAAGTAATGAACCTAATTAAGATCAAAGGAGGAATGGAAAAGTATTTTTTAAATGTTCTGTACGGCATGTCTAAGTAGCATGATTCATGAAGCTGTTGAAATGGAGCCCTGAGTAACGCGTTAACAACTCTGTTTGTCACAGATGGACCGGTCGTCTCCAACCTACATGCTTGCCAACTTAACCCCCTTGCATTCCGAGCAGCTCCTGCAAGGCTTGAACCTCCTTCGCCAGCACCGCGAGCTCTGTGACATTATCCTCAGAGTCGGCGATGTCAAGATCCATGCTCACAAAGTGGTGCTTGCCAGCATCAGCCCCTACTTCAAAGCCATGTTCACCGGGAACCTTTCCGAGAAGGAAAACTCGGAGGTGGAGTTCCAGTGCATTGACGAGGCAGCGCTGCAGGCCATCGTGGAGTACGCCTACACCGGCACGGTGTTTATCTCGCAGGACACCGTAGAGTCGCTTCTTCCGGCCGCCAATCTTCTCCAGGTCAAGCTGGTCGTGAAGGAGTGTTGTGCGTTCCTCGAAAGCCAGCTTGATCCTGGCAATTGCATCGGGATTTCTCGCTTTGCGGAGACCTATGGCTGCCACGACCTCTACCTGGCTGCGAGCAAGTACATTTGCCAGAACTTTGAGGACGTTTGTCAGACGGAAGAGTTCTTTGAGCTTACGCATTCCGAACTGGATGAAATTGTCTCCAACGACTGCTTGAATGTCGTGACGGAAGAAACCGTTTTTTACGCGCTGGAGTCCTGGATCAAGTACGATGTGCAGGAGCGACAGAAGTACCTGGCGCAGCTGCTGCACTGCGTTCGGTTGCCGCTGCTGAGCGTGAAGTTTCTTACGAGGCTGTACGAAGCGAACCATCTCATTCGGGATGACCATACCTGTAAACACCTGCTAAACGAGGCCCTGAAGTACCACTTCATGCCTGAACACAGACTTTCCCACCAGACCATGTTGATGACGCGACCTCGCTGTGCCCCGAAGGTTCTCTGTGCTGTGGGAGGAAAGGCTGGATTGTTTGCCTGTTTGGAAAGGTAGGTGGTCGTGGGGGTGTTGCAGCACAATCACTGCAGAGCCGTGGTTTGCAGGACTGCAGGCAGTTTTCCTTCATAAGAGGTCTCAGGCCTTTGGAACAAGGGAGTTCAATATTGATTTCATGAGTGATCTTTGCTGTTCCCGATAACTCACAAGTCCTTGGAATTAAAATAGATGTAATCAGGAGCGGCGAGGTAATGCTTAGCAATGTCACGTTCCTGATCTTAACGTAATCGTGGCTTCAGCCTCTGCTGCTGAGCAGGTGTCGGTCCATGTGCTGGCAGGAGCAGGTCGCTGCCCGTCTTTCCTGAACCAGCTTTCGAAAGGAACCCCCTCTTCAGTTCCTGGAGCAGTTTGTTACTTCCCTGAGGCTAATTGTGTGAGCAAAAGGAATGCAGCAGGGAGGAAACCAGCTCTGTGCCCCGGACGGGTGGGGTGGGTTTACTCTAGCGTCCTGTGAACGTTTCCAGAAACGGTAGTTAGGCTTGGTGGGGGCCGGTGAGTGTGCGGATGCTTACACACACACCTGCAGTGCTTTGGTGTCGAACGCGCCCGTATCGGGTCAGGAAGCGCTTAGTGTTGAGGCAGACTGCCCGAGCTGGTTCGACAGCTGAATTGGGGGAGAGTGCTTTACCCCAAGAGTTCCCTTCCTGGGACAGTTCCATGGTTGCACACACACACACGCTCACTTAAAAACCTGGGGAGATCTGCACGTTCGTTTTCCCTGCCCTTAGAGATGTCTTCAAAGTTCGCTTTAACATTCCCAATAATAGGGATCCATGGCAAGCTAGGTGTTGGGACTGGAAATTGTTGGGGTTATAGATGGAAGTAGAGGGGGCTTTGTGTTTAATAAAAATGTGTTTGGGTGAAGTAGTGCTCTGATCCCCCTCAGCTCTGCTTCTTTGACAGCTTCTTCAACCATTGTGACAATATTACACACCAATGTAGTTCGGATTATCTTGATTTAAACCAAAAATGCTCCCTACTGCTATTAACCATGTATTAATGCATACCAACATTTCCTTTTCCTTATTGTTTAATTCACGTTAGTCTTTCCTAAACTGTTGTTTCAATTCATACTTAAGTTTAAACAATTGCTCTTGACATACAAAAAATAAGTCATCGATGAATTAAATAATTCCCAATACAATTAGAATTGTGAAGTGGAGAATCTTAATTCCACTATTCTCGTTCTACTCTTCCTTTCTACTTGCAGGAAGGCTGGTTTTTCACTGCTTTGTAATAACAAAATTACTTAGCATGTGTGTAGTACTGCTCTTGTCTGACTGGGCTGCTGCTGTCCAGAGCCAGGCTGGTGTTTCAGCAGCCCCCACCGCTGGGTTCTTAGCAGTGGCTGTCAGCTCTCCAGTGGCTTTATTTTCCTTATGTTTTCTGGGCAGATCATATTTCCTGTGTACTAGATACACTTTTAAATCATTTAAGTAATTTATTAAGTAAACGATCTAGGTGGATTGACTAGACTTTACACGTGACAGGGTAGAGCCACTGTGTTCTAACACTAAGTATAATTTAAAAGAAAATGCAAATAAACAATATTTTGAAAACAGATTTTTCAGATTGGTTTGTTCTACTTTGACATTTTATTTAAATTATAGGGTGCATCTAAAATTTGTATTTACAAAATGACAAACTACTTCCTAACCGTGTGTTTGTACATATATATCGGCATGTGGGTGGGGAGCACTGGGACAGGCTGCCCAGAGAAGCTGTGGATGCCCCATCCCTGGGAGTGTCCAAGGCCAGGCTGGATGAGGCTTGGAGTAACCTGGTCTGGTGGAAGGTGTCCCTGCCCATGGCAGGGGGGTTGGAACTAGATGATCTTTAAGGTCCCTTCCAACCCAAACCGGTCTATGGTTCTGTGCTTCCCCCTCTCTAATTCTCCTTTTCTATCCCTCCTATCTCTGTGACTGGGCTGACGTTTCCCCCTCCCCAGTTTACCCTTAGCCCTCTGCTTTATATTTTTAGCTTACCCCCATTACAACCTACCTCCAAAAGCTGCGGTGGCATCTGCGCCGCCCTGTCTTCCCTGGCATTATCCGCGATGTGTTTGCGCTTCACAGAGCTTCGGAAAGCTGAGTTTGCTCACATCATCTTTGTCCTTCTGTTGCAGTGTTGAGATGTATTTTCCCCAGAACGACTCCTGGATTGGCCTGGCACCTCTTAGCATTCCCCGCTATGAATTTGGAATATGTGTCCTAGACCAGAAAATCTACGTTGTGGGAGGAATTGCAACCCATGTGTGTCAAGGCATCAGTTACCGAAAGCATGAGAATTCGGTGGAGTGCTGGGACCCCGATACGAACACCTGGACATCTCTTGAAAGGATGTTTGAGAGCCGCAGCACGCTGGGAGTGGCGGTGCTGGCTGGAGAGCTCTACGCCTTGGGTGGCTACGACGGGCAGTCGTACTTACGGACTGTGGAGAAATACATTCCGAAGGTGAAGGAGTGGCAGCTAGTGGCCCCCATGAACAAAACAAGAAGCTGTTTCGCAGCAGCTGTCTTGGACGGAATGATCTATGCCATTGGGGGCTACGGGCCGGCCCACATGAACAGGTACGTGCTTCCGATGCGCTTCCAGCTCAGTGGCGTAAGCTGGAAACCGGCAAAGCTCGCTGCTCAGCTTGTGTTCGGCAGCCAGTTAAAAGTTATTGTAGGCTAGGCTGGCAATCCACAGGGGGCCTCATTAATCCTTGTTCTGCAGTATCAGTCTGATAATTCAGCTGGGAAATCTTTATTTTAAGTTACCTTCAGGTGTTCCAGCTCAGAGCTGGTTTGTTTGGGGGTTTTGGTTGTCCCTTTTTAAATCCCCAAGAAAGGAAAATGCTAAAACCGGACATACATGCATATTGCTAAGCAAGATGGGGCAAGACACCTGACCTTGCAGACACCCAGGCTGGTTATCTCAGCAGATCAGCATTGTCTGGGCTTGTTTGATCAGGCCCTGTCGTAGTATACTTGTGTCCATGTCGCAGTGCTGCAGCCCAGTCAACGAGTGCTCAGGAGAGGCTTGCACCATGCTGTGCTGGTGCTGTGGGAATCCTTGTACTCAAGCCAGCAGAAAATTAGGACGGGTGTTCATGTTAACGTTGAAAACAGATTGGGAATGAACAGGATTTTTCACATACACCACAGCTGGAATCTTACCGTGGTCATGTCATGTATCACAGACTGGTTTGGGTTGGAAGGGATCTTAAAGCCTACCCAGTGCCACCCCCTGCCATGGGCAGGGACACCTTCCATAGCCCAGGGTGCTCCAAGCCTCATCCAGCCTGGCCTTGGACACTCCCAGGGATGGGGCATCCACAGCTTCTCTGGGAACCTGTCCCAGTGCTCCCACCCTCTCCAGGAGGAAGGGTCTTCATGATAAAGCTCAGGATGACGGTTACTGGTCTGGCTCCTGGGTGGAAGTGGGCTCGGTTCAGACCGTGCGTTGGCAAGGAGGGTTCCTGGTGCCAGCACGCTCTTTAGTTCTCCTCCTCCAGGTCACTCCATATGGATGAACAGGACATTTGGTTACACAGAGAAATCATTTGTACTCTCTGTTCTGCATTAAAAAGGGAACAAATCAGCCGTACATCCCTCTGAGAAGCAAACCAATAAACTAGGGTCTGAATAGGTGAATAAAGAATGAAAATTAAAATCTTGTTGGTCGGGAGGGACACGCTGGTGGTTTGACAGTGTATATAACACTACAGCACTAGTCATGAACTGTGCTTACTTCCTTTACTTCATACGTTTTTACACAGAATAGTTTATAGAATCTCAGAATCTTTAGGTTGGAAAAGACCTTTAAAATCATCAAGTCCAACCATTCGAAGCAAAGGATTCGTTTCCAGATAGCAAAGTGTAGCTAAGTAGTTTTCTTTTGGAAAATGCAAATGATTTTTTAAATTACTGAAATACAGAACAGCAATAGCCGAAACTGTTCGGTACGGCTGTGACAGTATTTTACGGAGTTTAACGTGATGTTATTCTCATTTCTTATATTTTAAGTTATGAACTGTAAGAGCAGTTGAAATACTTAATAGACAAGCAGGCCATCTCTACAAGTTTCCTATTGACTAGGGTTTCTTCACATGGGAATTTGACCTGGAACAGTGAAGCTGCGCAGTTGTCCTGTGTGGTCACTCAGCCCCAAACTTTGTGCACGCAGAACTGTTGGCTTTAGTAGCAGGTTAAGCAAAGCCTGGTCAGGAGCAGAGCAGGCGTTGCTGGGGGCCTCCGGGATGCTCACTCCGCTGCAGACTTGGGGCACGGGCCGTAAGGGAAGGAAGCTAATCCAGCCCTTGCTCTTGACAGAAGTGGTTCCCAAAAGCTGAGTGTGCACTCGGGCCTTTTATAAGTAAACTCAGTGATCTCCTTTCAGGAAATTAAGACTTGGCACTGGAGCAATAGGAAATGCCTTTATCAAGCTGGTACCCGTAAAGGGAAAGCTCTTAACTAGAGTCAGATTCAGTAGCCTCACTCCTTGTGCCACGTTTTCTCCCTTCCTCAGTCAGAAGGGAATCATCAGCAGCTCCTGTAGGGTTATTAGAATCTGGTGTTTCATTATTTGCCTTTTTTAATTTAATTTACTTTTTATTGCATAGTTTTGGTTTTGTTCATTATTCAGGGGTGCAAGGACTATGCCCTGCCATACAGTCACCAGGCTCTTACAGCGCTGGCGTTAAGAGAAAGCCGACTGCTCTGTAATTCAGCACCTTTTCTCCAACTCTCTAGTGCTTCTGATTTTTCTCCTCCCCTCTTTTCTCTGCCCTTGTGCTGTTGGAGCTACACTGCGGACAGGGGCTGGCCGTGTGCCATGAGTGTGCTCATGACTGACCATCTGTACAGCTCCAGTGAGTAACAAAAAGATGATGATGCTTCATTTCCAGTCCAGCCTGAAGGCCTCTTCTGTCCTTAGTGTTCTGATCAGCGACTTCTCTGTTGCTTGCTCCCGAGGGATATGCTCTCCGTGGTTTTTTTCCTCTCTCTTGTTTTCAGGCAAGCCTCAAGGAAGTGTTTGATCTGATGTGTTACTCAAGGAGACACTTCAGATCTGCGTGGTGCTCGGTGTTTCAGGAGTTGCTCTTTGCTAATGACTAGCAGCAGTCACCCCTGAAAGCGCTTTCCGTTCTGCAGCCGGCTTTGACAACTCTCGCTTTGTTTCAGTCTGTCCCCTGGAGAGCCCGGGGATGGCGGGGAAGCGGCTGTGCCGCCGTCGCTGCGTCAGGGTGAAACACTTAAAACCGCTTTTCGGCAACGCTCTGAGAACCTCCCGCTGCTGCGTGTTGTCGAAGGACGCCGGGACGTGACTGATGCTTGGGAGGTGACAACGCTGGCTGTCGTGTCTCGTGCCCTACCCGTGTGTTGGGCGAAGCGAGCACGCCGCAGGATTTGCCGTCAGCCCCAGCGCTTTGGGTCGCGTTGTTCCCCTGGGGGACTGTTGGTTGGCAGAACTAGCTGTACCCCTGGCAAATGCGGATTTCTTGTGGAGTGAAGTTCAGGTGTCACGAAAACCCCAGCCTCACGAGTTGTTTGTTTGTGTTTGCAGCGTGGAGCGTTACGATCCAAGTAAAAACTCGTGGGAGACGGTCGCTTCAATGGCTGATAAACGAATAAACTTTGGTGTCGGTGTCATGCTGGGCTTCATTTTTGTCGTAGGCGGACACAATGGTGTGTCTCACTTATCGAGCATTGAGAGATACGATCCTCACCAAAATCAGTGGACTGTGTGTCGACCCATGAAGGAACCCAGGACAGGTAGGGACGTGCAGGACTCGGCAGTTAACTCGATGTCCCTTCGGAGACGAGCTGGTGTTTGCCCTGACAGAAGCTGTGGTAGAGGTGCAGCCCCTTGGCTGCAGAGCGTTGTGCTTCACCTGCCACTTGGCCCAAAGATGGCTTAATCGGCTCTCTGAAAGAATGAGTATTTATTCCTCTGATTTTAATTACAGTCCAGCTCATTAATACTGAGCTGTAACAAAAATAATACAAAGTAATACTTCTACTTTGTCTATTTTTTCATTTATTTAGAGCCAATTTCAGCAGTTCTGTGGCTACTGCTCTATTGTATTTTATTTTACGTTGCCGCTCAGTAGCGCATCCTCTCTCCTGTCTCCGGGAGAAGGAGTACTGGGCCAGAAGAGTACCGTCCTGTCATAGGAAAGGGCACGAGGAGACTCAGAGCAGCGTAAGCCCTGAACAGAGATCGACTTCTATTTACACCCCTGTTCCTTATAGGCAGCCCGAGGAGGGAGAGGCTGTGGGAACTTCTCTGTTCAGCCTTCAGGTGGTGGTGGGGGGTGTTCCAGTAAGGCATAAAATAACTACATGCTTCCAGACTTGGGGATTGTGCAACTTATTTTTGTTTCTCTCCATCAGGAGTCGGTGCTGCTGTCATCGAGAACTACCTGTATGTAGTGGGAGGTCATTCAGGGTCGTCCTATCTGAACACGGTGCAGAGGTACGACCCCATCTCCGACACCTGGCTGGACTCTGCTGGGATGATGTACTGTCGCTGCAACTTTGGCTTGACCGCCCTTTGAACAGCGGGACTTCGCAGGCCTGATGCAAAGACGGAGCTTGACCCGCTTGAAGATAAACCCTGCTGCCAGAGACCGTAAGCTGCGGCAAGTCGGAAGGTCGGAGGCGTGTGGTGGAGCTGGGATTGAAGCGAGGGAGGATTTGTTTTCTTCCAGCAACTGGCCTTTTAGTGGCACGGGCCGAAGGAATGGAAGCGGATCACCAGCTGGGTTTAGATAGCGTCCCGTTGATGGCAGTGAATTTCAGAGAGTACTGTACATGCCTGGGATACGGTTAGAAAACTTACTGTACATCTAACCCTTTCACTTTCTAGAGCTCTTGTCTCTTCCTCCTGCCTACTATGACTCACGAAGTTTACCACGCGCGGGGCGAGAGGTGTGTGTGTGTGTCGTGTGACTGGCCAGTGTGCTGGTAGCTGCCTGGTTGCCTCTTCAGAGTAAGGAAACGCCAGTGCTTCGTCATTTTTTGTATGAACAGTAACTAAAGGGCTGCCTTGTTTCTGTATCTCAAGGTTTGTAAATAATAAATGCCATAGTACGTTGCCTGTACGCTCTCCTTGTTACCCGCTCACCAGTCGAGGGGCTGGGATGGTACTCAGCCACTGCTTAAATTCCCAAGGCAAATTTACCATCTCTTAAGGAAATTTCTGGATCTGCTGAAGAGAAATCCCATTTTGAACTTTCCCTTATATCTTCTTTCTGTGGATAAATGAGCGCTGGGTTAAGTGACTTCGTCTTGGCAGTCTGCGGGGTGGTTTCGGGTGTGGCGCAAGGGAAAGCGACAGCAGTCGCGCGTCGGAAGATGCCACAGCAGCTTCGCAGCACCATCTCAAGGCTCAGAGTCCCTCCCATCCTTCTCCCAAGCGCGCTTGTCTCCGTGCTCATACCACTTCCTTTTTGTAAAGGAGCGTAGGGTTGCTGTCTCGGAGCGTTCGGATACGAAAATGGTGCTAAGAGCGGGACGCGGCGGTGGGGCTGTTAGGGATTTCAGGGCAGTGTGCCTAAAGCGTGCTTGTCTGGGTTGGCCTGGTGGGTTTGCCTCCTGTTTGCTTGAGCCATCCGTGCCTCTGAAAACTGTCAGGATAAGTTACCGAACGAGCCCGGCGTTTGTTACGGTCGGTGTTTCAGGTCTGGGATGATCGTTGCTATCCTCACAAAGGGATGAATAGGGAGTGACCAGCGAGTCCTGCCGGGGGTTCTTCAGACAGCCTTGCCTTCAACCCCGGGTGCAGCCAGCGCCCAGCTCGGGGCGTAGGGGCTCATCCCGGGGCATCTCCTGCCCGACCGAGTGCTGGAGGTGGGCTCCTGCGACAGCCAGGGTTTCCAGGGAGAACTTTGATCGCCCTGAACGTAGTGAAAACTGGGGTGGGTGCATAGGAAGGGATGCTGTGGGTTGTAACCCTTATTTAAAATAGACGACAACATGAGTATTAGCTAACTTAGAATGTTCTGGTTTCTCTTCTAACTAGGACCCATGCTTATCCTGAGTTTCTGTTTCCATGTCTGTGTGTGTATTGCTCGGCCTGGTACTGAAGAATTTTTCTGCCTCTTGAGTTCTTTTCCCCTTGTTTTAACATGTTAAATTAATGTTCCCTTCCCCTCGTTTTATCAATCCCATATAGTATTATTTTTGAAGGTGCAATAATATTTGAAATACTTGCTTTAAAAGCCATTTCTTTACAAGTCTGCAGAGTGGGGGGTGGGTACTTGAGTTATCAGAGTTCCTGCAAAGCTAATTGCAGCCAGGCAAACAGTGCTGTTCCTTGTTCTTCCATATGCTATCGCTCAGATTTTAAACTGTCAAGGAGAGGAGGGTGTTTTCACCATAAACCATCAGTCACAGATAAGAGGGGTTTGCACAGATTATAAGATCCTGCATGTACTCTTCAAATTTGGTAGAATTAAGCAGGACTTTAGAAACAAAATTCACAATTTCAGTGTTTTCAGTGAAGTTTTTGACCTGCTAAGGATTCTAGTTATTTAGCAATAATAGTGTGATTTGGTGATCCTGGTGAATCTGCTGATGGGACACAAGTAGCTGCACGGTGTGTGTGGGGAGGAGAAGGAGGGGGAGCAGGTTTGGGGAGTAGGGGAGATGTTTCAGCCTGTTGTGCAGATTGCCTTCCCTTCAGGTACGTGCACAAGCCGCATGTTTCCACGTGCTGTTGTACTTTGCAGTCTGGTTCGGAGATGCCACTGCTGATCAGAGTTTCCCAATATACACCGGAGACAAAGATGATTAACAAAGTAAGATCAATAAACCCCAAAATTCCGTACTTGAGAGAAGCTACGCTTGTATTGATAGGCGGCTTTCCACGCAGTTTGGCATAAACCGTCCCCTTTGGGGTCTAACCACGGTTGGATTCCATGAATGGAGATGCTCGTGGGCATGTTCTGACGGGAAGTGTTAGCCAGCACTGTTTTCAGCTAGTACGAAGTGGTGTGGGATGTAGACATCGTTTTGACTTCATCAGAACAAAAAATCTGCAGGTCAGGGTGGTGTCGACGGTTACTCCCTGCTCCTGTAGACATCTTTCACTTACCCAGCTTACAACTGCAGGAGCCTTTGCCCTCTCGGCCCTGGCAGCGGCAGTGTTAAAGCAGGTCGCAGCAATCCTGGATTTAAGACAGCAGCGTAAACCATTTGTTAGTGTGCAGGCTTGGTGTGAAGACTGGGGAGAACACGGAATGAGCTCTGCTGCTGTTCTTGGGTGAGCTGTTCAGCGAGAAATGGAGCCAAGAGTGGATCATCTTAGGGATCGTGTCACTTCAAATCATGCCATCTTCATTTTCTGTCCCGGGTGCTCGTCCTGTTCACTGAAGTGCTTGGTTATGGGAAGATCAGACACAGCAGCCAGTTTAAATCTGCATTTAAAGAACAATACTCTCATTGCAATGTCTGTCTTGCAGTTTGAAAATTAAGGACCTTCGAATAAGATGTCAGACAACTATAAATTATCATCCAGTTCTATTTCTTAATCACTAAAATTCTCTGTAAAGCACTTTAAAATGGGTCTGAGTTTATACGTGTACATACAGCTCCTGCATTTCTGCCTTTTTGGGGTTGTTTTTTTTCAAGATACTCATCTGTAAGCTTCTTGACAGTGTCTCCTGCTAGGAATGCTTTCCTTTCAGCACGTCCAGTTGGGATTTCTCGAGGGGCAAACGTGTCCAGCACGCCTTACCAACAGTCAGCTGTTCCCGGGAGATCGCGTGTCACTCGTGAATTTGCCATCTGTAAGTCCCCGTTCACTATATGAAACAATGCAAAATGTCCAAGCTTGCCTTAAATTCTTGATATTTAACTGAAACTCAAAGAACTGGATGATAATTCCTATTTCTTTGCCTTATGCGCTGTGCTGTATTTTAAACCCAAGGGTAACTATAATTTTTAGCTGGATTTAATAATTGTACAGAGAATACCAAATCGTACTCGGACTTGACCAGAGTGCTTTGGTTGGGAGTGTAAAATGCTACCTGTAGTTTGGTGTACGTAGAGTGTTTTTATGTGTACGTCTTTTTTTTAGCAATGTTTCTGGTTTTGTCGTTGTTTACAACTTGGCATTTGAGTTCAAGAGGAGAATCTCTGTAACCTGCGTTCTCGGTCTCGACTAGCGTTCTCGGCCTGTTTGCTCTGGTGATGATGCTCTGTAAGTATCCTTGTACCTAATTCATCGAATGTGAAACTGTTTAGTAAATAAACCTGGGGAAAAACTTACGCTTTTGTTGGGTGGTGCATAGAAATAGGCTGTGGCTTCCAATGCAGATGCTCCCGTGGAAGAGGATTTAGCCTGTGACTTGCTGTTTCCCATCTGTCCCTGTAGCCACAGGGATTGTCTCCCTAACGGGTCGGTAACCATCGGAGGAACACGCAAACCCGGGCGGGAGAGCACACTCTGGAAAGCTCCTGTACAGACCGTTCTCTCCCGGTGAGGGCCCGGCATCGCTGAGGGACTGCAGAAACGTGGTCTGGTCGGTGCCAGAGGAGGTGGTGCCAAGGAATCGTGGTTGGCCGTTCGCTCTTCCCTTCTGTGGTTAGGTGGTGGGTTCGCTTCGGGTGATGGTTGACACAGATGGAAACTGGTGCCCCTCTCTCCGTTAGACAGACGGGAATTTAAGGTTTGGCAGTTGTCCTCCTCTTTCCTTAGGTCTCACCCATACACATGCCTTAATTTTAGGAATGGCCAGGAACGTAATGGGAAAAGGAACATAACTGGGATTTTTAGCTGCCTAATACTAACTACAGGTGGCAATAAAAAACAAAAATCTGGGGCTTTATGTTGAAAAAATTGACATTTCTAAGCCCATCGTTGGTGCCTCCAGTGAACATTGATTTAGGAAGCTGCAATATGGGGCTTTTCTTTATCCAGTAAACATCTGAAAATCGCAGGTGACAGGGGCAGCGCAGACATCCAACGCGGGCTCCGGCCGATGGAAGAAGTGTCTGGCAGGCACCCGCCCTGGCACAGACGGGTCCTCCCTGAGCCCAGCTCTGACAGAGCCGGCGGCTCCCCTGGGGGGAGCAGCTCACCCAGGTGCCAGGTGAGAACTCCTGCGCTGTCTGCAGGGCGAGTTTGGATCCCACCGGCCCCTTCACCCTGCTCTGACTGCTCTGCTCCAGCAGGTGGCTGGTACTCGCATCCAGCAGCACTAGCTTCCTATTTTTGTCTACAAAGGTTTCATACGACGATTCTATTCCTTGGCAGACGCCACTTTGACCACCTCTGTTCCCTTTTTGGCCATCTAGCCAGCAGCTCTGCACGCTGCTCGAGACGGAGCCGTCAGCCCGGCGTTCCGTGCTCCCTGGTACCCAGATGGAGCTGAAGAGCCAGTGTTAACACAGGAGAAGTGGGAGATAGTACGAAGTAAACTGGATTAGCTTTACCTGGAACTTCTCAGATGGTAATTTTCTTTGCTACTAAAGCTCCTGCCTGAAAAAAAACCCCAAAGCTGTTTATTACCAGCCACAGTGTGCTCACACCAGTTATTTAAAGTCTCTGATGAGCTGAGTCCCGATACTGAACTCCCCATGCATTTGTCTTCTGCTCCTTAGAACTAGCATCTGCTCTCCTCCATGGACAAGGTCATTCCCACAGCTACGGACCAA